TCGTTGAATAAATGTACATGTCTCAAATTATGTCAAAGTGTCCGGCGTTTATGTTAACAACTGCAGTGTTATTTTATACAATCGAGACATACGTGGAACATCATCGACTAAATCAATCAGATATGAATTTATATATATATATATATATATATATATATATATATATATACACACAATAAAATATGATAAAATACATTATAGATGTAAATAAAATAATGTTTAAGGAAGAAGTACATCATGTCAAATAAGACTCTTTCACAATGTATCAAAGAATAGAGTGGAGATTATTTATAGATTTTAATTTTCAAATAAAATCTAAATCATAAAACTGTGAAGATTTGTAATCATTAATAAAAGTGGTAGAACAACTATGTAAAGCGTAGCAGAAAGTATTTGATACACATACCAGGAACCGGAGATGCTGCAGCGTGAAGCCTGCTGTCAGGTTAATGTGGTCCACCAACCGTCCTGGCGTTGCTACAGCAATATCAACCAAACTACAAATACTGCCGTCTGACCTGAATTCATTGCAAAAAAATAATACAGTAGTTAGATTATAAAACGTAAACAAACAAGGCTCTAAGCACCAGGTGCAAGTAAATGCAAGTCCAAAGTAATCAATCAATCAATCAAAATATTTATATAGCGCCAATATCCAGAAATGTTCAGTGGCGCTGTCACACTTGTTCAGAATGCTCTTGAAAAAAGGAAAGCTTTCAGATTGCTCTTGAACACATTCACATTTGGAGAGTTCCGCATCTCAATGGGCACTTTGTTCCATAAATATGGTGCAGCACAGGAAAAAGAAAGCTTCCCGAAAGATTTTAATTTCTATCTTGGTGTGTATAACCAATGTTTTTCAGAAGACCGAAGGGATCTTGATGGTTGCAAATACTGAAGAATGTTGCGTATATAGTTAGGAGCATGACCATTGTGAGCTTTATAAGTTAACAAAGTAATGAAAAAGCAGAAAAAAGATGCAAAAGAGATTAAAAGAAGATAGAGCATAATACGCATGACTGCTGTGTTCACTCTATATACAGTATATATGAATATTCATTAGTTCAATGACAACAGTTCTTGGTGGATTAGTTGCGTACGTAACACACTTGCAGCTAATAAAGCCTCTACACTCTTGTACATTGGTTTTGACAATGAATGTACAGTATTGTTAATACACACCAAAGAATTTTGGACTTTATTTAGAAAAGTTGAGATGAGAAGAGAGAAAAATGAGAACACACTATCCTAAAATTAAACAGGAAAAACACAAAAACACCAAAACAATTGCATCATTTCTTGTAATTTAAGATCACTGTTAAAACAGTGGTTATTAAGATCATGACTCGCAGGCCTATTATAGTTTGGAAACAAAAAACAGAACACTGGTAAAAACAAAAAAGATATCTCATAGATGCAAAAAGGTGAGTTTAATATTAAATATAAGAAGGAATATAAAAGAAGGGTTAAATTTTCCTTAATTTTCAAGGACAACCACAAAGTGTTAATTTTGGTGTTCACCTTTGTCGCACAAGTTGTTCCTGTTCCTTTGCAAATGGCTTTGAGCCTCCAATGAGAACCACTTTCAAAGATGGCTTTCTGCAATAAGTTGAGAAGACAGTGTACACTTGGTCTGCAAGTTCCTTTGTTGGTAAAACTACTAAGGCTCTAACTTCAGGTACGATACGATCCAATAAGGACTGCAACACAAACACAGAATAATATTTTTAATGGAATACTAATAAATACAAGTAAATCTTAAAACCAAATCAAACATGAGTTTTGAGATTCATCAAATTTTGCATCATGGTGTACTACGGAACAATGTGCACACACAATGAAATAACTTGCATTGCTAAGTTTCAATCACATTTACGAAACTAATGAGGATGATTTGGGTTTCAATTACCTGGACAATGGGAATGACGAATGCTAATGTTTTTCCACTCCCTGTCGGTGCAGAAACGCAAATGTCTCTTGGTCTGTACCCAATATTGCCGACGTGAAGGCCAAACTTCAAGGAAGCAAACACCACTGGTATTACCTTACTTTGAACTGAGAAACAAATTTAATAATTATTTTCAAATACATTAAAATAGAAAATTGTATTATGTACATGTATGATGCATAATTATGTATTTGTAAAGCAGTGAAATGCATTAATTATTAACTGTATAATCCACATTTATACACAATTTACTACAAAGCTATATGTAATAATATACATTATACGCAGTTAAAAGAACAGAGTTTCATATATATTTTCAACATTATAATCATAAAATACATACTAGAACATGTTTTTGTTACATCTAAATCTCTTATTATTGAAATGTCTTCACAAACTCTTATTGTAAATTTTAATCTTTTTAGACATTATTATTTTTAATTGTTTAATGTTTAATTATTCAAAATAAAAATAAGTTTTCTTTTTTTAAATATTTTTTTTATTCCTTGTTTCGCGTACTTATTTTTTAAAAGATCATCGGAGGAGGGCAGAATAAAAATAAAAATAAAATTTTGTTTTCTATTTAGCAAATAATTTTGGCAAAAACATCCAGATGGAGGAGTAAATAAAATGAAATTTTATTGGTGAATGTAAAATTGGATGGTTAAATGCTTCAAATTTATGTAATTTGGAAGAAATATACATATGTTACCTTTGGAGATTTCAAGGCAGCGGAGGGCATAATAAAAATAAAGAAAAACTTTTATTTATTTTTTCCTTTAATTTCCATTTTATGTGGCAGCAGGTGTGCTAATTGGCCAAAAATAAAATGTTTTTTTTAATTCAAAATCATCACTATTTGCTACTGTAAGGTATAAAAAGCCTCGCCTTAAGGACTTTCTTGGACAACCCTAGGAAATAATGTCTGTAGTTTTTCAACAGTGGTTATTAAGATCATGACTCGCAGACGCTGAGCTCTAATGGTATTGGCATCTAACTAGCCTATTATAGGTTGGAAACAAAAACAGAACATTGTTTTTGTTTTCTATATAACAAATGTTGATTGATTGATTGAAGTGAAATTATATGTAGCATATTTAAAAAATACACACAGATAGCAACATTGAGATTACAGTAGTGATACAAAAGAATTCAAATGAGCCTTTAATAATATCAGTTTTTTTCTGTGATTACCTGGAAAGAAATGGTTGATGCCATTATCCCGCAGCATCATCAGCATCCGCTCATCCAGTCCTTCCAAATCAGTTATGGCAGTCAGGTTCCGTTTGATGTCATGATCTACAACAGTAGGCCAGGCTAGCCAATCAGGAAGCACTCTCTGAACCTACAAAGTAAACAGAATGTCGGCAACATCAATGGTACATTACTCTCACAAACCATTAGGTTTGTAAATGTGTACAAGTTTGTGGACTACAAGTTATGTATTTTATAATATTGACACACTGGAAATGTAGGCCTACTACTGTAAATAATAGCAAATTTTACTTTTTCTAGCAAGGATAATCTGGATGTGGTTGGTTGTGTTCCGGTTGTGCACATACTATGTAAGAATACCAAGAATATCTTGCTAAATATAACAGACCACAAGAAGGCATGTAATGTTCCTGAGATATTAGCAAGTGATCTGTGGGCGTGGTAAAAAAGCACAGGTCATCTTTGACCTTGCGTCGCACATTTCTTCATTGTCTGCAAATTAATTACTGTATGTATATTTTAGCAAGGTTTGTATTTAGTAGAGAAAGCGAAAAATCTTTGTACAGAAATATAGAAACAGACATCCTTGTTAGTATTTAGTATTTGTGTGTATAAGTCTACATAATACAGTTAGATTGTGAAATAGATTTCTCAAGTTAGTAAAATGCATTTCCGTAACTATGTCTTCAAATTTCAGTAGTAAATGAAAACTTTCCATAGTACTTAATAATTTGTACATGGTATTATAAAAGTACATGAGTTTGAATCTTTTGATGACAGATGTGGACAAGTTTTTTATGCATGAGTTTGTGGAGAAGCTTGTGTTTGTACATGGGTTTACTTGGGAATGTGCACAGGTTTTGCAAGTGTGTAAAACAGTTTGACTGCGAAAGTGCATAAGAAATTAACTGTAAACCAAATGCACATGCAAGTTTGATTGTGTAAGTGCACAATTTTCTGAATACATTCTCAGTATGTAAATGTGCATGACTTATGAATGTACTGAATACTGTATTTTTGGCAAACAAAGTTTGTAAATGCACCTTAGAATTTGTGAATCAGTATGACAGTGAGTACATGTGTTTGTGAGTGTTCCACAGAGTTTTAAGAATTTGCATGGTAGCATGTGGCGGGTACGCAAATCTGTAAAATTCTTTTTATTTCTTATACCTTTTTCTTCTTCTTGGATTCAACATCCCCTAAAACAGTAAATAGTGCCATACTTTCTTCATCAATCATCTCCTCATCGTCATCATTTTCCTCGAATATTTTCTTTTCCGTTGATTGTTTTAAGGCAGCATCATAGTTTTTTGATGTAGTATCTTCTACAGATTTGAATGAATGCTTCACTTCATCATCTTCATTTTTATCTTTCGATGATTCTACCATTTGATCAATTTTTTCTACCGACTTTACTTTTGACTTTGAAGTTCTCTTTTTCTGTTTTCTAATGCTGTCATTCACATCTGTAAAGTCAGTCTTTAATTTGCAATGTTTTCTTTTTTTACTTTCTGAATTTTCCAATCCAATGTTCTTTTTAGTTTTTAAGTTATCATCTCCACTGATCGATAAAGTTACATCTTTGTTTTTATTATCTGTGGACTTTCTTTTCCTTTTTTCTCTGGAAGTAGATTGATAATTCGATTCTTTAACTGCACCAATGTCATTGTAAGTTCCTAATCGTGATTGTATTTTCTGGTTCAACTTTTCCAATAACAATTGCTGGTTAGTTGTGTTTGAATCACTGTCTATAATTCTTTCACCTTGAAATCTGTTAAACCAAAAATACAATAGCCTGAAGGTTAGTAACAGTGGCCACAGGCTGGGAAATCTACAGAGGTGACAAATGGTGGATGTAAGTAGGCATTACTCCAACTATTTAAACAGAAAATGTTAAGTTTAGTACTTAACATTTTTAAGGCAGTGTTTAAATAGGCGGAGCTAGGCCTATATTCGTCTACAAAACATTGTTGTGACTTTGCAGGGCAATACCGGCAAACAACACTGTGTACTAAAGAGCCCCAGGAAAACACGAATAAAAAAAAGCACTGTTCATGACTAAACCAAGTACTAGGCCCAGTACTAGAGTAGTAATTGTAGGCCTAGTCTCACCATATTGAATACTAGCTACAGTAGCTTCTACTACTACTTATGTGTACAGTAGGGCCTAGCCTAGCCTAACTAACTTGCTAGTAGTAGGCTAGGCTAACTAAGTGCATACACCGTCGTATGTAAGCTAGGCGAGGACCAGACAAGCTTAACCCTCTGGATACCAGATCCTTTTGTAGTGCAAACCCTTGAATACCGGATTCTTTTGCAGTGTAACAAAGTTTTTTGCGTTTTTTGAGTATACGCCGTTCTGGTGGATTTTTAGGAACTTTCTGTAAATTATACAGAAAAATGTTTCTAAAAAACAAAGAAAGCTTATAGAATAAGCTTTCATTTGATGTATAATTTATATTTTTGGGAATTTTTTTTCATAATATAATATAATATAATATATATATATAATATAATAGAATGACAGAAAAATGCTACATATAAATCGTCAGCAAAAACCGAAAAAAAAAAAAATTATAGCCCAAAAAAATAAAAACAAATATAAAACATTCCTATTCCACACAGTTATATAATTTATTTCCCAACCATCCATAACTATAAGCGCGATCTTTCCATTCAAAAGCGTCGACTACCCTCACATTTCTAGGCCTAGGCTCATCTTCATCAAGAACATCTCTGCCGTCAGAACTGCTTGAAGCCCCACCGTCATCATCGCTAACAGGCACGTCTAAGTCTCGCACATCTAAAAATTCACCTTCATCGCTGTCTGAATCAAAAATCAGGTCAATCGCTTTCTCAGCTGTGTACACATCTTGTGCGGCCATTTCAAAAAATTTTTGAAATTAATAACGATTTCAAATTGATATTTCTAAAAATTTTTATATATTGCGCATGTGAGTTCTTCACAGATTTCGAAAGACAAAAGCTTCACGCATGCGTGTTCAAAATTTCTGACGTATTGGAGCTAAAATAAAAACAGAAGAGCGATTTGAAAACCATCTATTTTTTAGTCACGAAATTTCGATTGCAGTCGAAAATGGGAATTCTCGGTTTGAGGTCAATTTCGACTACAGCCGAAGACGTTGTCTAGAGGGTTAACTGGGCTAGACCACTAGACTATGTATTAGTACCGTATCTAAGGCTTAGGCCCTGCCTAGAGTAAGTCTAGGCCTACTACGCTAGTTAGTCCTGTAGTAACCTGTCCTAGCCTAGCTAGCTAGGCCTAGGGGTAGCCGATCATTTCGGTCGCGCCTCATTTCGGTTGCGGCTTATTTCGATCAAATATATAGAGCGCCGAAGGAGTTGCGAAAACGCAAAATTTAATATGCCTAGGCTAGGCCCTATATAATTATAATTAGTCAATCGGTTTATCATAGGCCTAAGTATTTTTTTTAATTTCCGGTTTGCTATCCTTTCTACTAACATATTTTCTTTCTTCCATGGAGTTTAGTATGTGCTTCATGCTATTCTTTTTGTTGCGTTTTCATACTATAATTCAATAATTGTGGTCAATAAAATGTATCTTTGATTTTAATTGAATGTTGTTACCATCTGAAATCTATTTCATAATTTAGTTAAAACAATAATCATTACATTATTTAATCCAATGTTTCTATACAATAAATTTATTTATTTTTCTTGCAGCTTCCAGAGTTTGGATAAAACATACCAAAGAATTGAGGGAAACACAATTAAAGAAATAAACGAATATTACACACATTATCATTCTTCACTTAAAATCTTCAGTTTTCTTTGATGTCCCTGCACAGTTCATAAATATGAATATAAGCATAAATGATATACCTAGAAACAACTATATTTTATATATATATATATATATATATTGTTTATTTGTAAATTATCATTAATCCTTTATAGACGTATGCCGACTTGCTTTGACTTAATTACTGTATTGTTTCTCAAATTGTATATTGCTAAGATAGTTTCTCAATATGTTCATTTTATGTCAAGCGTTGACAAAGACTACAGGAGTAGCCGAAATATTCGCCTAATAAATTTTAGTGTTTCTAAAGTCAACATCTTAAGTATTTATTTCTGGCTGTTTACTTACGTTTACTTTTTAGCTGTTGCTTATCATTTTTGTATCTCTACTGAGATCCAGCCATTGTTTCCCACAGCATTGTTGTTTTCCAGTATTTTGCCTTTTAATCTGTATATGTATGTATATATATATATATTATATATATAAGCCTATATACACATACATATATATATTTATACATATATAATATTATATATAATTTATACATATTTATTTACATTACACATGAAATAATATAGGCCTAACAAATATATATTTTACTATCCATTTATTTTTGTATTTAAACATGATCAGTAGCCAGCGCAGACGATTGAAAGTTACAGGTTTCATGAAGTAGGTGACGTGAACACCCGTGAAATGGTGAACTGCGCTCCAGAGCACGTGTTTGTACCTACAGTAGAAACAGCTAGTCATCTATTTTAGGGAATATGGTCGAGGCTGCCGCGAGGGAAAGCAGCCGGGCTCAAAATGTATGGAACGCCAGTAGCGCTATACTGATTGACTGGGCAAGTGTTTCGAAATAAAGAGAAATCAGTGTATAATTATCAGACTTGTACTAAATATTTTTTATTTCTCATAGTCTTCTTGGCCCTGGTTGATTAAAGATCGATTTGTTTACAGATTGATTACAGATCAAAACATTTTTGTACGTACATGACGTAATTGAATTATGTTAGTAAAATTTGAATACAGTAAATAAACTAAAGAAGCCATTTAAAAATTACCATCCATTTCTGTAAGAAAATAGGCATACTATAAATCAATTGATATAATAAACTAGAAATTGCAAATTGCAAGTGAAGTGCTGCAAATTACAACTGCAAATAAATGTTCTTCTAACATAATTATTTATGCGAGTCAAGTGAAAATAATGAATAATAAAAATATAACAAATAATATGAGACACGACCCATTGTCTATAATTAGAACACTGACGAGCTGACGTAGAAACATAGTAAAAATGAGCGTTGGTACCATGTATGCCAGTCTACAACAAGCATCGCCTAAATGTAGAAATTAGCACGCTGAAATAGGCTAGTAAATAAGTTTAACTGGGTTCGTAAACAATATTGGCCTCAAAATATTGTGGCTGAGACATGGGCCGATTAAACGTAGAAATAAGAAACCTAGAAATATAGTAAAAACACTGAATAGTAATACTCGAGCGTCGCCACACGCGGACGTTGGTACGTGTAGGTTTAGTCTTCAAACGTCGCCTAAAGTAATTGATTTTACCCGGCAGAACGAAAGAAGGAAACTTCGCTTTTCAGTCGTCTTAGGCCCTTGTTTTTTGACAAACAATGACCTTTAAGAGGTCAAATTGCTGTCAAGAATATGAATTGGCTGCTTCGCAGCAATAAACTAACTAAAAATTAAGTCTCGATTTATATAGGCTATATATAGGTATGTTAGAAGAGTGACGTCACACACGGTTATCGTTGTCGCGACGCCGATGCTGATTGTTTTGGTTTTGCATCTTGCATCCAGATTAGAAAAAATCGTATTAAACAGTTTATTGGTTGCATTCGCTAACCTTTGAACCTATCTACAAAGTAAACAGGTCAAAGTTTACTTGCGCTATTTAAAAATATTTTTTCATTGATCGGTCACCGAGTTACAGTGTACGGAACTTTTTCTTTGGAATAAAGCATCATTTACACATATTTTGTAAGCTCTGTAAATTTTAAAAACCATCCTGTAATTTAAATAATTATATATATAATATCTATGCCAAGTATGAATTAGATCTGATGCTTCTCAATAATTTTTTTGATTTTCTCAAATCTTAGGACTCTCGAGTCCGATGCATAAAATGTCCGCTGATCGAAAGATGTGTACATTGGAGGATGATTCAAACGGCATAATTGTTATTAAATTTACACATAAAGTCTGTATTACTGATGAATATGTCCAATATAATCATTGCTTAGTATTATATATACACATCTAGATGTGTATAAGAGACAGTAATATACTCGTGTATAATTGAGAATTACCGTCACGAAATTGCATATGGCGTCTTATTAGGCAATTCTGGCCTGTAATTGGTCTGTATAGATCACTTGACATTGAATTTGAAATTTGATTGGATGATATGTGTTGTTGACAGAAATATAGAGCACAAGCATCCTGGTGTTGCATAGATAGGCCTACATTAATAGTTTTTAAACAATTAAAAATAATAATACCCCTGTAGTAATAATAAATTAGTCAAATAATGCATGTATAGATCAAAGCAATAAATAGTACCTAATTAACTTCTTTTTTTTCAAGGTATACACAATGAGAATTGACAAATTAGTAAAAAGGTCACAAACTTTATATAACGCCTGTAGCCAAATTTTCGCCATAAGGCCAAGTAAAAAAAAATAATTGGTTAGCATCCTTTTGGTATCAAACTGGGTTTGTTGGAACAACAAAACAGTCATCATTGATGCCATGCAGGGGTTTCACCAGAAAATCAAAATAGACGGCCTATTTTGTTTTTCCAAAATGGAAGCCAGTGGGCGTGGCACTGAGCCGATGGTGGGCCACGCCCATCGTTAGTAATCCCCATCGATTATTGGTACGAAAACGTACATTCAATCAATAAATGTTGTTTTTATCAAACGTAAATATGATTTACCTTTAGTTTAATGTAACATTC